TCTTCTTATTAAACGGTCTGTACACTTACAAAGTTCTCAATGCTTCGGTTTGCATGTAGGGACCCTCATTATGTTACTGTGTTAGTGTGGGGCTATTTTGAGCCTTGTTAGTGGTATTAACTAGCGATTTCTTTTTACTTATTAAATGCCCCCATTACTAGCGTTATACGCTAAACAGTTTTTAGAGATAAAACTCTTTACATCGATTATCATGAAAACAAATCTCAGAGAACGGTTGACTAGGTACCAATGTTTTATTAGACCAAAGGTTCATTTTGCGCCGGAGTTCTCCTTTAAGGGTTTGTTTACTGTGCAATGAACGTGTTTTGTTTTAAATAAATCACACAAAGTTTTTTTTTTTTCTTAAGGATTTGTTAACTGTGTGTGATTCATTTAATGGAAAGCACATTCACTTCTAGTCGTCTTGCTGTTAATTTTAAATAAACGTAGAGCAAGTAGCTAATCAGTGTCTGCTCGTTTATTCCAACTAAGTTGTCCTATAACAGACGAACGTCGCAACGCATACAGTTCAATTTTCATTCAAGCTCCAAACTGCAATTATTGTTAAGGGGCAACCTAATGGCTCTGCTCTGGCGATTTTTACAAGCATGATACATCTTATCTATTTTTCAGGACAATGCCTGGTGAGAGCCACTACAGAGGATCATAGCCATCGTTGGAATTTTGAAAGGACGTGGGTGAATATCAATCTGCCAAATGAACTTTTTTAGCATGCACATTCACATCTGTATATTAATACTGATTATATATTAACTTTGTTTGTTACTGGAAAGAACTTAGCTTCTGAACTATGAACAAAGAACTTTTTGACTGAAGGACTTGACCGTATTTTATGTGCATTTTAGCCTATGTGCATTTTAAAGTAAACCCCATGCCGTAATGGAAAAAGTATGTACATATATTGGCCAGTTGCTTGTAATTGCTATCAAATATTGTTTACATAAAATAAACATGTGTATTTTTACATATATTGGAGAAATGCTTGTAATTACTGTCTATTAATGTGTATATAAAGTTAACCCATACATTGAGTAAATGTCATGTTGATATATTGGAAAGTTGATTTTAATTAGTATAAAGCAATGTTTATATAAAGTATACCTCATACATTGATGTTAAAAGTATATAGAAGGTAAAGCCCCATACATTAAAGGTACAAATATGTAGAAATATTGGAGAGTTGCCTGTAATTATTGTCAAATAATGTTTATATAAAGTAAACCCCCTTATTTAAATGGTAAACATGTAGAAATATTGGAGAGTTGCTTGTTATTACTGTCAAATAATCTTTATATAAAGTAGCACACTGTATTTAAATGGTACAAATATGTAGAAATATTGGAGAGTTGCTTGTTATTACTGTCAAATAATGTTTATATAAAGTAAACCTGCATACATTAATGGTAAAAGCTTGTAAATTTATTGGAGATGTGTCTGTAATTACTGTCAAATAATGTTTTAATAAAGCAATAACTGTTAAAAAAAATGTTTCTGAAACTTAATATCACAAGATCTTGTTTTTTTGTACAGGATAAAACCAATATTTAACAGGAATTTACTGTAAATAGATTGAATAATGACATAAAATAAAAGTTTAAATCGATCAATATACTGGTATTAGGCTTTAAATTAGGGTATCTGAAGGTAATTATACAACATTTTCTGTGTGTTTTACATAGAAAAGTCTTTACTTTGACAAGGAGTTCTTGTAGATGGATTGGATTATCCTAAAAATATACCAAATAATACTGTATTAAAACAGAAGTCTTTGTTTTAATTATGTAATTTTAAGGTATTTCTGCAATATTTGTAAGTTTTTATACAGATTTATACATTCGTTTAACATTCAACAGACATTTTTTTTATGAGATTTTATTTTTTTTCTACAGCAGTTTGACTGTAAAAATACAGAAAATATTTACGGTAAATATCCGTTTTCAAAAAACAAAATTTTTCTGTAAAATAATTTAAGTTTTTTTACTGTAATTTGACGGTAAGTGGTTGGCAACTTTGCTGCCAGACTTTTTACCGTTATTTTACGAAAAATTTTTTTACAGTGTATAATTCGCTTTGGATAAAAGTGCCAGTCAAAATTCATAAATGTAAATGTCTAAGCTCTAATACAACCTCCAAGCTTTTTGTAATACAACAAATGTTTATTCATTCATTATTTGAAAATTATATACTTTCACAATATTAAAGGTGCATTATTGCACTTTTTTTGAAGATTTCCATTAACACCATGATTTTTAATAAAATTTGCTTATAAAGTTATTTTAAAGGAAATTACTGACATTGGCTGGAAGAAACTGTGACATTACAAAGCATTTTTATTTGCCCCTTGTCTCTACAGAAATGCAAATAAAATGAAAGTAAAATGTGTTTACTGTGAATCAAACTGTGAAGACTGTGAATCAAAATCAAGGCAAAAGTTGATCACAGTCAACTGAAATTACAAGTGAAAAGAGCAAGTGAACTAAACTTTTCTACAACACATTCACTCTGGTACTGTGAACTCTTTTACAGCCAACACGTCCTGAACATTTTTTTTTAATTAAACAGCATTTAATTACATTCAATTGTAATTTTTTGTTTTGTTTACATGTCCATTTTGAAATGAGGGACGACAAATAGTTGAGGGTATGTTTACCCCTCAATGCTGTACTAAAAACGGAAACGTTTTTTTACTTAACATTGTCAAAAAGTTCCCCATTCACACGGATCCACGACTAAAAACTTGTATTATGCATGCTAGGCCAGCGCTTGAGAAAGACATAATTTCTGTATCTCCACTTCTTTCCAACCCACAGTGCTATCCAGCCTGTGGCTTTGTACCTGCCCAGATTCCCCCTAGGTCTGAGGCCGGTAACACATGCTAGGCCAGTAGTTGCCATTTGGCGATGTCACTTCGTAAAGAACACTACGACCCAATAGACTGAACATGTAATGTGCATGACGCCACCGTTTTCACAAATTCGTGTTTTTGTAGTTTTTACAAAGACAATAATGGTATCGTTTTCAGAAACGTACACTTTGAAACCTATTTTCAAAAGTTATTTTTTTCTGGCCCCCAAAACGCCGTTGTGATGTAAATGAAAATTTTACGTTTTTATATTGAAAATGGTGTTGTGTAAACGGCCTCTTAATCTACAGCATTAACCTCTTAATATTTATTTAAAGTAAAAAAAAAAAAAAAAACCTTTGCATCATCTTTGGCTATCTAGTACATGATTTACTGAATTTATGGATAAATTCCATAACATTGTGTTAACAACTATACTCCATAGACTTTATTAGAAAAATAGGATTGGTTAGTAACTGACATTTTTAAGCCAGGCTCAGCGATGGGTCAAATTACAACAGATTAAAATAGCATATCGGGCTGATTTATGCAGGCTATGCAAAGTATACCTATGATGACCTACTGAATTTGCCAAAGTATGCAGTGTAAAACAGAGAACATTATAAAGAATACAGTTTCCAACAATGCAGTAAGTAAATCCTGAGAATGACTTCTTATTTATTACCTGACTGCTAGAAGATACAACAGTATGCAAGCAATCCATTTCAGACATACCCAAATAATGGAAGATACCTTTACCTTTAATACCTTTTTTCTAGTGGTGAAAAAATGAAACACCTTTAACAAAAATAAATATGGTCTAGATAAACAACTAATGTGTGCATTGTTGGGAATCAATTGAAATATGGTCTTACAAGCCATTGTTTCTTTACATTTAAGACCTTGTGAAGCTAGTTGACTCGAGGTTAACTATACTTCTGTTTTAGGTCAAATCGTCTTGCCACATGGGCTAAATTCAGCCAGATATACATCCCCTCTGCACCACCTCCATAACCAAGTTATTTTTTGCACATTGGATTAAAGGCTTACACACTTCAGAAGTTTCATCTCTGCCATATTGTGCATCTGCCTAGCTCAGCTATACCGCATTTCCCCAACCAATGTGTTTTTTAAAGATCACAAACCATAAACACAGTAATTATGCTGTTAGAACTTGACAAGTTTGCAAATTAATCTGTTTGTAAGCAAATACATTTTGCAAGCCACACAGTATTTGGGATTTACAGGCAGAAAGTGGCATGTAGGGAAATACCACAAAGCACGCTATAATTTGCATCAAGGTAAACCTTGTTGTGCAGTGATACAATGACTGGCGATACATAATCTCAAGATATGACTAAAAATAAAAGAATCCTACAGCAGGTTTGGAATTATGGAAAAACAGTGTGCCCATTGTTCAACTCAGGATGTACACCAAATGAACACTTCGTGATAAACATTAGAAAACTATTTGGGAGAGAAACATGTGGTTCATTTAGCCAGAGATTTTGGCCTTTGTTTCTTGTTTGGTGCCTTTTTTGGTTAAAAAATAAATAAAATTGATGGGTAGTCTCAGTCACACCTTATTGGTGTGTTTTGAACACTTTACCGGTCACGCCATCTGCCTTTCTCAAGGAGATATCCCTCCCACCACCCACAAAGTCAATGTTTGACGTGTGTTGGTGGGTTCTTTTTTAGACGCCAAACTAAAGCTATTTCAGTAGTGCGTTGTGGTCATGGCCGTAGTCTACATAAAGTACATGGTAGACAACCTCTGCTGTGTTCAGTGAGGGATGCCAGGGCTTGATTTAAAATACAGTCAATTACTCAGCTTGAAAATCGTGCAACAAATACATATTTTCAAAATAGCAGTTTAATACTTAAATTTGATCATATTTACATTCAGTTCACAACTAAACTGGTGCACTATTTATTTAAAAAGAGGCATTGCTGAGTTTTAATGGCATCAGAAGAGCCAAAGTGAACTTAGTTTTCTATGTGTGCTTTTGAAAGAGACCATAATTACTATGAGGTCATGATTTTATAAGTTATTTGACTATACTCAACTGGATAGACTCGACAACAAATGAGAATATGTAATTTTATAGAATAGCATTTTGAAATGTAACTTCTTTACCTGTCTGGGTGTTCCCCAACCACCTGAAACACACTAAGTAGGAATGTCTCATTGCGAAAGGCCCTGGTGACACACTCCTTGTAGATCCTGAATTCTGCAGCTGTGATGGCCTCTCCCTCTGGGATCTGGGACAGGTTGAATTTGAACTCTTTATGGTGTCGTCTCTGTGGAGACAGCTCCCTGTCATTTTCCACTGTTAAGACACATAGAAGTACAATGAGATATTTTAGTGTGCTTGACGAACTGCTATTGACATATAATTTGCATGTTTGCATACTCTGGGTCACACATTTACTATACAGGGGCAAGAATAAGTTTGTGGTCTCTGGATGTCTGCACTGATGACCCATACAATGTGGTCTGATCTTCAAATTCAGAATTTTCTTCATTGACAAGGCAGGCTGAATCTCTATGTTATGACTTCTCCAAAATTGGTGTCAGTCAAGGAAACGAGATTGGAAGTGTGGAATTGTCCAAAGATGACCTGCGTCTTTAAATAAAGGCACACACTGACAAATATGTTCTTATCAAGAATAATTGGTTAATGTTAACCAATGCCTAGATCCCAGAAGCTTTCAAATGACTTTAAAAACACATTAGGCCTACAGAGATGCAAAAAGCTGGAAAAGGCTACAAAAGCATCGCTAAAGACATAAAGATATTCGTCAGTCCATAATAACCTTTTTACAACAGAAATGAACCATCACTTAACTTACTTCATGGAAAATGGAAAATTCATAGCTGTACAATGACACTATTTTCTTCTAGATCTGCTGTACAGCCGAAAAAACTTTGTTGCATTATTTTCCTGTTATCACTGTAAAGCTGCTTTGAAACAATCTGTATTGTAAAAAGCGCCATATAAATAAAGGTGACTTGAATTTACTTAACTTGACCTGGTAAGATACCTTTTCAACAAATGTAGAAAATTCTGGATTGTTTCTACTCAGGGCGGACATCCTGTCAAGATCACTTTAATAACACAACAGGCAATCCTGAAAGAGGTCAGAAAGAACCCAAAGATAACAGCAAAAACCTCCAGAAAATTATTTAACCTCTGCAGAAGTCTATTCATGTGTTCACTATAGAAATCAGAAATAAACTGAACAACATGATATTTACGCCATTGAGACATGTTTTCCCCAAATAACCTGGATGTTCTACAATGGTTCTGGGAAAATGTTATTTGGACAGTTGAGACAAAAGTTGCACAAAACTTTGAGACAGTTTTTGTCCAAATCAAGTAAATGGAGTTGGACAAAAACGTCCCGGGTTACGTATGTAACCCTAGTTCCCTGAAGGAACGAGACGCTGCGTGAAACGCTGCGGAAACGCCTCCTGCGTTGTGTGTCGTGAAGCAAGTATGGAATCAGCCCAACGGCGAGATGGAACGTCAGTGACGTGACGTCATCGACCAGAAAACTATAAAGCACACCCATGAACACAATGGCGACAGCTTCTGGAAAAAGTCTGAAGCAAGTCGATCAAGGGAATGCCGGGAGTATGGCAACGACACGCAGCGTCTCGTTCCTTCAGGGAACTAGGGTTACATACGTAACCCGGGACGTTCCCTCACAGGAACGTCGAGCTGCGTGAAACGCTGCGGGAACGCTAATACCCACGTCGCCATAAGAGCAAGTGACCGACTGTGTGAATCAAGGGTTAAATTCAGCCGAAAGCACCTCCGCCCCAGGGGTGGAGCTAAGGTCTAGGTCATAAAACCTGACGAAAGTATTCGGTGAGGACCAGCCTGCCGCATCACAAACGTCCTGGAGGGAAACTCCTGACAATAAGGCTTTGGAAGCCGCCATACTCCTGGTAGAGTGAGCTCGGACAGCCAAAGGTGAAGGCTGACCAACCGACTCATAGGCAAGTGAGATGGCCTCAACCACCCACTTGCTCATCCTCTGCTTAGACACTGGGGACCCCTTCTTAGGGGGTCCAAAACAAATGAACAGCTGTTCTGATTTCCTCCACAGGGCAGCTCTGTGGACGCAAGCGTCTAGAGCCCGCACAGGGCAGAGCAGATTAAGGTTTTCCTGATCAGACGATGTAAAAGGAGGAGGACAGAAGGCCTGAAGAACTATAGGTCTGGCCACATTGGTAGGAACCTTAGGGACATAACCTTCACCATCCCAGGTGAAAACTCCAAGCACGAGGGAGCAACCGAGAGAGCCTGAATATCTCCTATTCTCTTAAGAGAGGAAATGGCAAGAAGAAAAATAGTCTATAAAGTAACAAACTTATCAGCAACTTCTTCAATAGGCTCAAAGGGAGCTAGGGAAAGACCTTCTACGATGATAGCTAAGTCCCATGCTGGCACCCTCGTGCGGACTACAGGCCTCAGCCTTAAAGTACCACGAAGAAAGCGAGTTATAAATGGGTGTCTCCCCAAAGAGACTCCACTGAAAGGGACATGGTAAGCAGCAAGTGTCGCTACATACACCTTTAGTGTGGAGGGGGATAGCCCTGAGGAGAAACGCTCCTGCAGGAACTCCAGCACTGCACCCACTGGGCAGTTAACTGGGTCCAACAGGTGTTCTCCACACCAAGAAGTGAAGAGCCTCCACTTCAAGGCGTATAACCTCCTCATGGAAGGAGCTCTGGAGTGAAGGATGGTCTCAACAACCTCGGTTGAGAGACCGGCCCCTACGAGCTGGGCCCCCTCAGAGGCCAAGCCCATAGCTTCCACAACTCTGGGCGGGGGTGAAGTATCAACCCGCTCGCCTGAGAGAGAAGGTCCCTACTGATCGGAATCTCCAGAGGAGAGCCGTCTAGAAGAGACACTAGGTCCGCAAACCATACTCGGGCCGGCCAAAACGGGGCTACCAATAATAGACTGACCCCGTCTCGGCGAACCCTCTCCAGAACTCCTGGGAGCAGAGCAATCGGGGGAAAGGCGTACAGGCGTGACCTCGGCCACGCCTGCACCATAGCGTCCAACCCCAGCGGGGCTGGATGACTGAGAGAAAACCACAGTGGACAGTGTGATGTCTCCCTGGACGCAAATAGGTCTACCTCGGCACGACCATACTGCATCCAAAAGAGCTCCACCACCTCGGGGTGGAGTCTCCATTCCCCGGGCCTCGGCCCCTGCCTCGAAAGGATGTCCGCTCCCTGATTTAAATACCCCGGGAGATAAATCGCCCTCAATGAGAGAAGCTTCCCCTGGGACCATAGAAGGATCTGGCGAGCCAGATTGTATAACGGGCGAGAGCGCAGACCCCCCTGATGGTTTATGTAAGAGACCACCGATGTGTTGTCGGACCGGACAAGAACATGATGACCTCTCAGGTCTGGCAGGAAGTGCTTCAGAGCCTGAAACACTGCCAACATCTATGGACAATTTATATGCCAAAACCGATGATGGTCCTGCCACAGACCCTGGGCTGGGCGACCACTCATGATCGCCCCCCAGCCTGTGAGGGAAGCATCTGTCGTTAGCGTTACACGACGACAAAGAGCTCCCAACACAGGTCCCTGGGACAGAAACCAAGGATCCCTCCACCTGACCAGAGCACGGAGACAACGCCGTGACACTTTGATCACGTGGAGGGGGTTTCCCCTCGGGGAGAACCCCTTGGTCCTGAGGCACCACTGTAATGGTCTCATGTACAGCAGGCCGCAGGGTATAACACAGACAAACTCAAGTCTTGTTCTCTGTGTGTAAAGATTTGGTGGTAAATCTAGAAGGACAAATATTTCAATAAAACTGTCTTCACCTCTTGAGTCGATGCCTAGCTACAATGGAAAACAGCTACCGCTAAGCTTGTACTCATGTTGATGCAAATGTACAATGTGAAAAGAGACCTCCAGGGGCATGAGTGTGTAAACAAACTTGGATTTGGAACAAACAATCAAGGCAAGATTCACTGTTTCAGAGACAGCAAAAAAGACATTGTTTCTTTACAATACAATGACATGATATAATAATATACTATTCGATATAATATTCATGCACAATATCAGTGAAAGACCAACATGTAACCCTTAACATTAACTTTTTCACCAGGGTTTTTCTTTTCACATACCTAAACATTATAAAGATGTGGTAAACTATGTATGCTCAATAATAGCCTATAATTGACTGACCTAATTCACCCATATGGTCTTATACATACGCATTTATATTACAGCACCACTTCACAGAGCGTCCAGATGTGCAGGGCATGTGCTGTAATAATGATTCACTATTTCTGGTAGAATACTAATTCTTTATTTATTCAAGCTGTTCCCACAGCAAAGGAAATCGCAGAAATTCATTTATCCGCAGTTTTAAGATTTTCTGCATGAGTTCAGCCATTTATGCAGAAAAAGGAAAAAGGGGAAATTGCGACCAGAGTGTGTTTTCTCATCAGATGACAGCTTTGTCATTCTGCCGTGCTATTCTTCCCCTCACGTCACAGACAACCCTTCCTCTTGTTCCTATGGACGACCCATGGGCAGTATTTCTTGCCATAAGTACAAGTCCAGCCGGATGCCCCGCTTGTGGGCCCAGGGTGAGGTGTCCTGCTCTGATTGTATTTCCATGCTTCCCTAGGTGAGGAACACGCACTTCCATCTAATCCCTCCCTCCCTGTGAAGAGGAAGAGAAAGTCATGGAGTTGACTAAATCGTGGAGAAGAGGAATGAATTAGAGAGCACCAAGGGTTTTGGGGTAATGTGAAGACTACTCCTTTTTCTCTGTTTGGTGAATTACAGAAGCTGTTTAAAGTTCTCCAACATCACATGGGAGCAACTTCTCTGATCTGTCGTCCTCCAACAGGGAGTTATACTCTTCTGCTGTCCTTACACATGTGTTACAAATTAAAACTGAACCTCTTGAGAAAACCTCAAAGGGCTTAAGACAGATCCCTGAGGGACACCCTGTCCTTGTGCTACATACTCTGCTCTAATTGACTGACTAACCTTGGAAAACCCACCTGCAAAGTATGAAATAGAGTACTGGTAGAATCTTTTGACCTCTAGTGAGGGTCTCCTACCAAAAAAAAAAAGGAAGAGGAAGAGAGAGAGAGAGAGAGAGAGAGAGAGAGAGAGAGAGAGAGAGAGAGAGAGAGAGAGAGAGAGAGAGAGAGAGAGAGAGAGAGAGAGAGAGAGAGAGAGAGAGAGAGAGAGAGAGAGAGAGAGAGAGAGAGTGAGTGAGTGAGTGAGTGAGTGAGAGAGAGAGAGAGAGAGAAGAGAGAGAGAGAGAGA